CCGGTCCCAGGGATGGACGCACAGGCCCCGGTCCCAGGGATGGACGCACAGGCCCCGGTCCCAGGGATGGACGCACAGGCCCCGGTCCCAGGGATGGACGCACAGGCCCCGGTCCCAGGGATGGACGCACAGGCCCCGGTCCCAGGGATGGACGCACAGGCCCCGGTCCCAGGGATGGACGCACAGGCCCCGGTCCCAGGGATGGACGCACAGGCCCCGGTCCCAGGGATGGACGCACAGGCCCCGGTCCCAGGGATGGACGCACAGGCCCCGGTCCCAGGGATGGACGCACAGGCCCCGGTCCCAGGGATGGACGCACAGGCCCCGGTCCCAGGGATGGACGCACAGGCCCCGGTCCCAGGGATGGACGCACAGGCCCCGGTCCCAGGGATGGACGCACAGGCCCCGGTCCCAGGGATGGACGCACAGGCCCCGGTCCCAGGGATGGACGCACAGGCCCCGGTCCCAGGGATGGACGCACAGGCCCCGGTCCCAGGGATGGACGCACAGGCCCCGGTCCCAGGGATGGACGCACAGGCCCCGGTCCCGATGCCGCAGGTAACCGCCCCGGCCAGCCCCCTATGCGCTTGTGTGAGGGCCGCGTGGATACACAGGCAGGAGCAGAAGGGTCAGTTCCCGTGTGTTCTCCGCTGTCCACCCGCCGCCGGCTCCGCGTGTCCCTCCAGCCTGCCTGGCTCACGTTGCCCCTCTTCCGACTTCGTAATCGAGGAGGTGGGAGTGAGGAGTCTCATCGTTGCCTTTTAAGGTTTGTGTTCACGTTCTTTAAAGACGTGGAGCGTCTGCTTAGCCATCAGTTGCAGCTTCAGCACATTCACGCTATCGTTTGCCCGCGCTCTTACTGAGGCTGATGTCTTTTTTTTTTTCAAAAGAAATATCCCCTGAAGAATATCATTGAAAACATTTGAGACATCATCCACACAGTTAGTGTTACTTTACAAAATTAGGGCCACAGTAAAAATGGAGGCTGTCTTTTTCATGTTGGTGTGCAGGCGTGTACTGCGGACTATAGTTGTTAGTCTGCTGGGAATTTTAGACCTTGCAATAGTGCCTGCCCTTATGTCCTATCAACTTTGTTGGTGGAGAAACTTAATGGCAGGAACCTAATTTTGTTAATAATTTGTCTCCCCTCCCACTTAGGACTTGTATTTTGTTGTTGTTCTTGTGATCAGAACTTTTAAAAAATATTTTTATTGATTTCAGAGAGGAAGGGAGAGGGAGAGATAGAAACATCAATGAGAGGATCATTGATTGGCCGCCTCCTGCAAACCCCCTACTGGGGATTGAGCCCGAAACCCAGGCATATGCCCTTGACTGGCATCAAACCCGTGACCCTTCAGTCCGCAGGCCTCTGCTCTGTCCACTGAGCCAAGCCGCTAGGGCAGGACTTGTACTTTTGGAGGTTAGGCTTAACAGGTCTTCCTGTTACTAGGTTATACATATTCTCTCAAAAAAATGTATAGGTTTTCTTTTTCACATTCGAGACATGGATCCATCTGGAGACCTAGATGCACATCTGGTTTGTATGTGACATCCTGTCGGAGTTGTGTCTTCCAGGGCCCAAAGCTTTGGTCTGTGAGGGTGTCCAGGGTGTGTGGGTGCTCACGTGGCACCCACACCTTGTTATCTAAGCCTCCTCAGTTTTATGTAATTGCACAGGATGCCTTTTTAAGAAATCTGTTGTTTTCAGGTGCTTCGCATTCAAAATAATCAAAATGCCAGAGGCACATGTATTTTGGGGTGGCATCCTCTATTTAATTCCCTCCCATCTTTCTCTCTCTCTTTTAATATCTTCTTATGGATTTCAGAGAGGAAGGGGGAGGGAGAGAGAAACATCAATGATGAATCATCCTGCACGACCCCTTCTTGGGGATCGGGCCCGCAACCGGGGCACGTGCCCTGACCGAGAATCGACCCTTGAACTCCTGGCTCATAGGCCGACGCTCCATCATTGAGCAACACAGTCGGGCTCCCTCCAGTCTTAATGCACAGATACCTTCCGCACAATTCAGTGAGCGTCCTCAGTCGGTCGGTGCTGACCAGCCGCATGCGGGGCAGCCCGGGAGCGGAGGCTTCTGCTTATGGGGACCACTGGCCCGGAGCCTGGTGTCTGCTGTGGGCTGTGCAGGCCCCACCAGGTAAGAGGCGGCCCCGCGGGGGGCAGCGCCTTGACAGGGGCGTGGCACGTGGCGCGGTGGATGCTCAGAATACATACTCCTGGACATAGAAGCGATCACAGGGTCAAGAATGGCTTTAGATAATTCTTTCTCGTGTGTTTACAATGACTCTATTTGAAGCGATTTCAAACTTACATGCGGGTGAGATGCACGGGAAATGGAATTTAGCTCCAAAAAACCCAAACACCCACCAAATTTGTTTGAGTTAAATAATTATAAACATTTCCTACTGTATTGACTCACAAACACCCTGAGTGTGTGGTTCCGTAGTGCAGCAGCTGGCACGTCTGCTTTACACACAGAAGATTCTGGGTCTGATCCCCGGTGGGACCAGTGACCACAGGACTCCCTCCCCCCCTCGAAGGCAAACGGGGGTCCTTTTGTTTGCGATTTGCCTGTGTGGCTCAGTGATCTAGGAACCAGGAGGGAGAGCACGGTTCCATTCCTAGGTGTGGGCTCGATCCCCAGTGTGGAGATAAAAATATATTTTTTAAAAAAGGGCCAATATAAACATTGCTCCATGTTGATCTTTAATATATATTTTGATTGACTTCAGAGAGTTAGGAAGAGATATAGAAACATCAGTGATGAGAGAGAATCATGGATCAGCGGCCTCCTGCACGCCCCCTACTAGGGATCAACCCCACAAACTGGGCCTGTGCCCTTAACTGTAATCGAACCCGGGACCTTTACAGTCCACAGGCCGACGAGCTATCCACTGAACCAAACCAGCTAGGGCACCATGTTGGTCTTTCTATTCATGTTAATGTACCTGTTTCAGGGATGCGAATGCAGTGCCCAGACTTCCCCCTGAAGGAAAGACTCACCAGCCAAGTGCAGACAGCTCCTTCCCTGTCCTTCCCACATCCAGTGACGGGCAATGTGGGGCGGTAAGGGCTGGTCCAGGGACAGAGCTAATGTGGGGGCACCTCTTAACAGACAATACTGGCTCCAGAGCTCCCCACGTTTATCTGGCCGGTGTCAGTCTGACACTCTCCTCCCTTCACAGATTTGGGGACCTGATAATCATTTTCCACTTCAAACTCCACCTCAGCATCTGCTTCCACACGACCCAACTTGCCTCGTTGCATCACCGTGTTTCTGTGTGTGGAGGGGTCTGTTGTATGTTATCATTTTACTCAACAGGCTTTCTGCAAAGACAAGCAACAAACGGATCTACGTATTGAATTACAAACCATTTCCTCTCAAATCTTTCAGGCTGTAAACCACATGCTAACATTAATACTATTTCTCTGATGTGTTTTTTTTAAAAAGTGGGTTGCATTCCATAGCTAATTTGTATTATCAAATTTATTATGTCAGAAACCAGGATTAATGTTAATTTTTACTTTATTCAATGTTTATTGGTTTCAGAGAGGGAGAGATGGAAGCATCGATGATGAGAATCATGGATTGGCTGCCTCCTGCACGCCCCACACTGGGGACACAACCCGGGCATGTGCCCTGACCAGGAATAGAACTGTGACCTCCTGGTTCATAGGTCAATGCTCTACCACGGAGCCACACCGACCGAGTTAAATACTTGTGCATAATTTACACACCCCACAAAGTCCTATATTTATGGTCCCATTTCACCCCCATGCCCACCTTTGACTTCATAGCCTCATGGACTGTTCCCAAGAAGGGCCAAACACATTTCCTGTTAAGGCCTTTGCATTTTCACCTCTTTGGAGTCCTCTTCCCCTAACATCTGCTGGGCTCATTCCTTTTCTCAGTTTGGTAGGTAGCGCCTTTACCTCCACTTATTCTCTATCTAAATAGCTGCATTAGGCCTATTTGTTTCCCCCACCTGGGTTCGTAGGCAGGCAATTCCTAAGGTTGCATTCCTTGCTGTATCCTCACCTGCTGGAATTCAGGGCATGAACACAGCTGCCCCAAAGAAACAGGGCCAGGAATTCACCCACGTGGGTTTCAGGAACGCCCGCATGTTTTAAATCAACAAATCAAACTCTAACTTCCATTGGAGTTAAAAGCTAAAATGGAAACTCCTGCCGAGAGAATAGGACAAGTCACCCGTTCCAGCTTTTTCTGAAAGTGTAAGTGGCTCTGAAAAGAGCCTTTGTTGTCCAGGTTCCTAACCTGCTTTCTCCTTACTTGGCCTTGTGGTGGCTCTCGGTCTTCTTGGGCAGCAGCACGGCCTGGATGTTGGGCAGCACGCCGCCCTGCGCGATGGTCACCTTGCCCAGCAGCTTGTTGAGCTCCTCGTCGTTGCGGATGGCCAGCTGCAGGTGGCGCGGGATGATGCGCGTCTTCTTGTTGTCGCGGGCCGCGTTGCCCGCCAGCTCCAGGATCTCGGCCGTCAGGTACTCCAGCACGGCCGCCAGGTACACGGGCGCGCCCGCCCCGACGCGCTCGGCGTAGTTGCCCTTGCGGAGCAGCCGGTGCACGCGGCCCACGGGGAACTGCAGTCCGGCCCGCGAGGAGCGAGACTTAGCCTTGGCGCGCGCCTTGCCGCCCTGCTTTCCGCGTCCGGACATTAGGAAATTAAAAATAAGTCTTTGCAAAAAGGAAAAATGGACACTCGCCCGAGCAGACCAGTTCTGGGAATAGGGGGAACATGGCCGTTTTTATAGGCAGGTCCTGGGAGCAAATCGGAGTGTCTGATTAGCTAGGAACAGACTCAGGCACATAACCAATAGGAGAGTCTCATTTCCATACCTCATTTGCATAGGCCGGCCCAAGGATGACAGCCTTGGCGTTTGTCTGCCAATGAACTAAGAGGCTCTCTGCATCCCTCATTAGCATAAAGTCTCTATAAGTAGCAGAGATTCGGCTCCAGCCGCATTTTCCTCACAGTCTCCTGAGATCTCAAAATGCCGGAACCAGCGAAGTCCGCGCCCGCCCCGAAGAAGGGCTCCAAGAAGGCGGTGACCAAGGCGCAGAAGAAGGACGGCAAGAAGCGCAAGCGCAGCCGCAAGGAGAGCTACTCGGTGTACGTGTACAAGGTGCTCAAGCAGGTGCACCCCGACACCGGCATCTCGTCCAAGGCCATGGGCATCATGAACTCGTTCGTCAACGACATCTTCGAGCGCATCGCGGGCGAGGCGTCGCGCCTGGCGCATTACAACAAGCGCTCGACCATCACGTCCCGCGAGATCCAGACGGCCGTGCGCCTGCTGCTGCCCGGCGAGCTGGCCAAGCACGCCGTGTCCGAGGGCACCAAGGCCGTCACCAAGTACACCAGCTCCAAGTGAGGCCCGAGCGAGCGGCCTGACTCCTAACCCAAAGGCTCTTTTCAGAGCCACTCAGTTGTCAGTGTTAGAGCTGTGAACACATTCTTCAAGTCTGGGGGGAAGTACAGGCGGAGTACACAGATGTTTACTAAGTACTTTAAGGTTCCCGGACGTGAAACAGTGCTATGTGCTGCTTAGGGGTATGTGCAACTAAACTTAGAAAACACAGCCTGGCAGCGGACGAACACCATAGTAAGGACCCTGGTGAATTCCAAGGCAGGGAGAGCTTGGGACTCTTGTTGAGACACAAGTGTTTAACTACTTTTGGATTAGTTTTGGCGGTAACATCGAACTAAGTGGTGTTTCACTGACATCTTTCCTTTGCCTGATACATATTCTAGTATTTGTACTAGTAATGGAGGCAAATGTAGGGAAAGTGGTTATTTTATCAAGAGTAAAGCCTGCCCCAAATGTGGTGTGGATTGTGAACATATAAAGGGACCTACTTTAAAATAAGACGGAGGGTCCCCACAGACGTGCAAGAGGGGAGCTATGGGCAGCAGGGCTCATCCAGGCGAACCCCTGAATCTATCTTCCTGGCCCCGTCCTCTGACTTTCCAGGGAGCTGAAGCCAGCCCCAGTGGCTCATTTCTTTCCTGTAATAGTTTCAGAGCCACAGCTGTGCTTTCACTGGCCCCAGCTGAACAAATGTGCCCTCAAAAAACAAACAAAAACACCCAAAATTAAAATGGAGCGGGAGCTACTTATACCTCAAACCTTGAAGGGTTAAAACGGCAAAATTACATTTGGACCTAACCTAGGACAACATTGTATCCCAAAGAACTGTTCGAAAGGAAAAGAAAGCAAACATTGTTAAGTACTTAGCTGATGGGTGACAGACTGAAAAGAAAAACATGTTTAGACCTCGCGTCACTGTTAACTTTTCTGTGGCGATAGCGACGCCTTCCTGCGGTGGGTGTCACTGCTCCCCTTCCCTTGCCCCTCAATTCCTAGTGTTTGTCTCCTTATCCGGACTCTCTGGGCTCCTGCCTTATTGGTCTCAAGTAAATGTTTGCTGCCTCTCACTTTGAAAGGCCCTTTTGTCTTTAAGTTAAATGTTGAGAAAGAGAAAGACACAGGTTTTCCAAGACCCACCGTAGAGCTCTGGGCATCCCCTTGTGAAACAAAACACCGGGAAACCAGCAACGCATTCCTCTGTTCAGGCCCCAACCCGAGGCATTAATACATTTAAGGAAGATTAGCGATGGGCAGGGCCGCCTAGGCCCCAGGCCTGACTCGGGGTTAATCCGGCCCCAGGCAGTTCCAACCTGGGGGAGGTGGGGGAGGGAAGAGAGGCCCGGGGAGACTCCGAGGCCCCACCCTCAGGTCCGAAACTCGAGCCCGGGCACGGAATACCGTCCCGCCCACGGTTCCAGCGGGCACTGCACTGAAGTTACGTTGGCCAATCGTCACTTCCTTTTCTCCAGGAACATTGGCCTGAAAAGGGCCTCGGTTTCGCTACACAAAGCGAGTGTGTGAGTTCAATCCGAAGACATGTTTCAAAAGCTTTTTGTAACCATGTTGTGGTGTTTAAATGGCCCGTTACAAACCGAAAAGGCGCAGAAACCCGTCCCATGACGCACAGCAGGTGGTTAAGAGGGAGATGAAGTGGGAGGCGACTCCTCCTTCAAATGCAAACTGAGGCCCAAGGTACAGGAAGTGAAGACTCAGTTAGAACCCTGGCCCCGAGCTAACAGCGACGCCACTGCTCAGCCTGCGGGTAGGGAGGGGCTGAGCCGAGACTGCACATCCTTGAGGCAGTTCCACGTGGACGCACTAGAGGCCGGGAGATGGATGGGCTCCACCTGCCCGTCCCTCCTGTGACGCCCGAGACCAGGTGGGGAGTGACAGCCAGCATCCTGGGGACAAGTCCCGTGTCAATGTATCTGAGTCTCCGTGGGCGTCAGCTGGAATCTCTGCAGAACTTGCCCCGACACCCCGCCAGGTGGGACTGTCATGGGTTCACTCAGTGAGACAGACCACCGACTCAGAATTTAAATTTAAGAGCCTTTATTAAGCTGGCCAGCTGATCACAGTTACAGCACCCTGTCGGAGCAGCGGCTGAACTGCAGCGCAGACTACAGGAGTTACATTTTATTATTAAATTTTGTGGAGGCCCAGACAAAATGTCTTTCAAATTCTGGGCCCCCAATATGGAGGAAACTCTATCTATACTTTTCCCAGTCCTTTGTCTCCCAAATTTGGAATGAGGCTTCCGGGCCTTCTGAAAACGAAGGCCTGCGTGCTGGGAAGGGGCCATGAGATCACATCTCAAGGCCTGGCCTGAAGTCAGTACCTTCCTATCTCTGTGTTTTAGGAACAGACAGCACAGCATGACCCGTCTGGCCAAAGCATCAGAAATGCAGCCCAGCACAAGACTCATGGGTTTTTTGGCGGAGCCTGTGGCTGAGCGCTTTCCCGGGCCCCTGGGTAGGAGTTTCCACCACGAACCTCTAGGCCCCGGCGCTGGAACCGCGGGGACCCCGAGAGCGAACCTGTCACTCCTGCCTCATTTCCCCGTAAAGCGGGCAGCGCGCAGCGCGCAGCTCTTCCGAGAGGGGGTGGGCGGCCCTGAAAAGAGCCACAGCTCTTTCAAAGGAACGGATGGGTGGCCCTAAAAAGGGCCGTTGGTTTTGCTGAAGAAGCCAGTAGGTGGGTGGCTCAGCCGCCGAAGCCGTAGAGGGTGCGGCCCTGGCGCTTGAGCGCGTAGACCACGTCCATGGCCGTGACCGTCTTGCGCTTGGCGTGCTCCGTGTAGGTGACGGCGTCGCGGATCACGTTCTCCAGGAAGACCTTGAGCACCCCGCGCGTCTCCTCGTAGATGAGCCCGGAGATGCGCTTGACGCCGCCGCGCCGCGCCAGGCGCCGGATGGCGGGCTTGGTGATGCCCTGGATGTTGTCGCGCAGCACCTTGCGGTGGCGCTTGGCGCCGCCCTTGCCCAGGCCCTTCCCGCCTTTGCCGCGTCCAGACATGGTCAGAGGATCGGAGACCAGCAATGCGCCCGCGGCGTCAGCAGCGCCCTCTTATAGGGCCGCGTGCGGACCGGAGTGAAACCCGAGAGCTGGGCGGGGCCTAAGAGCTAAAACCCGCGGCTCTAACCTCCCTTCTCCCCCCACCCCGCCCCGCCCTAAGGCAATTCTTTTGAACACCCAACAGCGGCCAGCTTTTCTCCTTGCTTTCTCATCCCTGGGGCCTCCTGCTCCATCCAAACTAAACAACAAAACCTTAACCTTGTAGAGCAGCGACTTCTAACCTGTTCCCCTCATGGTACGTGCAAGCGAAGGTCACATCGCTGTTGTAGAAGATGCTTTAGAGAGCGGTGGGAACGTATTTCTGCATATACGCGTGCGTTTCCTTTCTCTAGGTTTGCACAAGGCTAGGCCATTTTGGAACGTTTCTCTCCTAATTTCCAGGAGAGCTACACCCCACAGAACATGATGGTAACAAAGTAGAGAATTCTAGGGTCTTGCAGATTGTTTAATTCTCTTCCACCAAAGGTACCAATTTTCATTTTCAACAGCAGAGCCTATGATCTCTTACTACTAATGGGTAGAATCACTTAAAGAATTCCAACGATCCAGGTATAGACATTAAACTTTGAAAAAACAACCAGCTGGTCAATCAGTACAGCACATCAAATATGTCCCCACTGATTTGAAGAACTGAATTTATCATCTATTGAATATTCACTTAAAATTAATTCTTCAGTTTTTATTGTAATGATGGAATGTTACAGTTGTTTCTCCTGTTGAAAAATATTTTAGTATTTGGCAGTGAATTCCCACCCCAGTTATTTTTCAAAATAATTTCTGTTATCACCACTCCTTTTACTTAAAATTACAAATGATTTTGTCTGCTTGCAACAAAGAAATTCTCTAAGTAGTCTGGTCAAAACGGTGCTAAAGCTATGCATTTTTAGGGTAAATTTATCTTTGAAATGCTGTGTCCTCCTAACCTGAAAAATACTACTACCAATCCACATATGTACCTCAGTAGAGTTTTCTAGAATATATATATATTGCGCCTGCCCCCTGGCCGGGGCTGAGGGGAGACTTACCGGGTTGGTTTTGATCTGATAAATGCAGGTACTATATATATATAGTTAATATATATAATATATAT